AAACATCAACTAGCAACAAAACCAAGACACAACACAAAGGACAAGCGCCTTGTCCCAAAGGCAGCCCTTTCTGCACTGGCTGTTTTTAGTGGATTTAACGGATAGGTGTCACTAGAGACTGTCCCTGAAGAAGTCATCCCAAGAAGCCGATGACCGTTTCCAGCAATATCAAAAAGTGCTCAAGAGTCGAGTAGGCAAATCATGAAAATAGTTCACAAAAATGGAAACACAACGTACCTCTCAATGAGAAAATGGATTTAAAACATCAACAATAGTCAACATCACTAATTACAGTATAAGGTAATTGAAACCACCAAGACATTTTATTGTGTGTTAGACTGGCAAATATAAAAAAGCTGGACACCATACGGGGAGGAGAGAACACTTAAGGGGAAGAACACTGCTTACTGGTTTGCTCCTTCTGGCTAGCTCAGGCTGTGCATCAACAACCTGGACCACCTGCCAAGGGATGGACCCTCCCACATTAATTATTAATAAAAAAAAGTCCCATGGTTTGCCTACAAGCCACTCTCATGAAAATATTTCTTTTTCAGCTGATGACTTCAGCTTCTTCCCAGAGGACTCTAGTTTTTATTACATTGACAAAAACACTAACCAGTAAGTACACCGTGAGGAGACTAGTTAGAGAAAACTATGACGGATTATAAAATGGGGTGCAGTCGAGAACACTCTCTAGGCACAAGGTGAGAAGCGGAAGGAACAGCGGCACTTAGGGAACAACTAAACAGATAAGGCAAATATCTACCCACGCATATGCACAGAAGACACCGAATGGCAAATCAAGGAAATCCTGGAAAATACAGGGTCAGCATGGAGATCCAGTCTCTGCTGGCAGGTAGAGAAATGTTCACAGACCGACGGGCACAGTGAGACAACTCAGCTACCAAACACTGAGCATCAGAGGACCAGCGACACAGATGGCTATTAGATAATGAAAAGGAAACCACTAAAACCCTTACAGCTCACTGTCACGGAGGATGTACACTGTCAACAAACACAGCAGGAGCGACAGCCTGGAAAATCACTTTAAATCAGGTGCGCACCTTCAATCTCAGCACTCGGGAGGCAGAGGCAAGTGGATCTCTGTGAGTTCAAGGCCAGCCTGGTCTACAGGGTGAGTTCCAGGACAGTTGGGGATACACGGAAAAACCCTCTCAAAAAACAAAGAAAAAGGAGGAGGAGGAGGAGAAGGAAGAAGAAGAGGAGGAGGAGGGGGGGAGGAGGAGGAGGAGGAGGAGGAGGAGGAGGAGAAGAAGAAGAAGAAGAAGAAGAAGAAGAAGAAGAAGAAGAAGAAGAAGAAGAAGAAGAAGAAGAAGAAGAAGAAGAAAAATCACTCTAATTTTTAAAAATTCTCCTATGTGGGTTTGTGCATATAAGCACAGTGCCTTAAGAGGCCAGAAAAGGGAATCTGATCACCTGGTACTAGAGTTACAGGTGCTTGTGAGCCACCTGCAGTGGGTGCTGAGATCAACTTGGGTTCTCTACATGAGCAGTAAACATTCTTAACTACTGAGCTCTCTCTCCAGCCCCAGAGGGGGGAAAACACACTTTTAAAAATGATTTATGAATATATGCTGGGCGTTGGTGGCACACCCCTTTAATTCCAGCACTCGAGAGGCAGAGGCAGGCGGGTCTCTGTGAGTCTGAGGCCAGCCTGGTCTACAAGAGCTAGTTCCAGGACAGGCTCCAAAACCACAGAGAAACACTGTCTCAGAAAAAAAGATTTATGAATATGTATGAACGTTTTGCCTGAGTGTGACGTATGTGTGTCCACATGCATGCTTGATGTCTGTGGAGGCCAGAAGAGGGCATCAGATCTCCTGGAACTGGAATCACAGATAACTGTGAGCCGCCACAAGGGGCTTGGGAACTAGATTAAACCTAGGTCCTCTGGAAGAGCAGTGGACATTTCTAACACTGAGCCATCTTTCCAGTCCCAGAAAAGAAAAAAGAAAAAGTCACTTTTTACAATTACCTTAATTAACAAACAATTCAGTCAGAATTCACCAGGTAATACTACCACCAGAGTGCAGGAGCAGCTAAGCACGTGACTGTACCTCTCAAACACCCCGCAGACCACTTCAGATCACCAGGGGAAAGATGTCTTCTTGGGGGAGAAATCCGTCCAATCGCTTTGACAGGAATGTGAGCTCTGAATCACCAAAAATAGAACAAGCGTTGCCTAACAAACAGACCACCGCATCATCCGAGGGGAGATCATGTCCCCGCAAGACAGCTTCCTGGGACTCTCAATAACTCAGTGTCGGGACGGACACCGGGAGCTGTTGTGGACTAAAGACGAAAGGATTTGTGGAAATTTTGTGTTATTATACTCTTTAACTGGATCCTGGATGTAAAACAAAAATCCTCACCAACCAGAAGCTCAGGTGTTGTGTAATGCTGTCCTCCAGGTATGGCGTGGCTGTGGCTCAGCTGCTAAAACTCCTTCCCAGAGGGCAATATAAACAGTTTCCACTCCCCCTCCCAAGGATGCAGAAGTCCACCGGAGTCCACTCTGGGGGACAATGAGTGTGTAGGTGACGGGCTCTGTACATGGTTTGAGTGTTTCTTTCCAACAACGCTGCATCGGGAAAGCCTTGACCTAGCAGGGATGAGCGCTTTCCCATACCTACACAGACGGAACTTCTCCCCAGTCCTCCAGAGCCTAAAGCTCTAGCCCCTCCCCTTGGCCATGTGGGATTAAGGCCAATTTGCCTCCACCAGGTGAAGGGAGAGGCTGAGTACTTAGGTCATAGTCTTGTAACCCTCCCCACCCTTCCAGGAAGGGAGGTGAACAGTCCACAAGCCCAGCAGGAATAATCCTTTTGTTAGTGGGAGCAGCTGAACACCCCAAGATGGTGGTTGTTTGGCTCAGAGGGTAGTCAAGAACAACACGTCCTCTTGGACTCCTAAGAGTCCTATCATGCAGGGACAGGGTGCTCAAGAGACTCTGCCCCTTCCTTGTGATTCCTAGGCAGCCAACAGTTGCCAGAAGGGGATAAATTGGCAGTTAATGTAAGGAAATCTGAGGGAACTCGGTCCCTAATGGGTTGACTCCTGCAGGCCATTAGGGACAGTTGGTTAGCTCTGGCCGAGAGCCCCGCTAATTTCATGCCCTGGAAGGCAGAAAAGGACGAGAACTACTGGGAACGAGGCATCGAAGAGGCAGTTTTGGTGCCCAGATTCTCGGGCCAAATAGCACTGTGTTCACAGGACTTAAGAAAAAACTTGAGTTTGGGACTGCAGACGTAGCTCAGTCGGTAAACAGCCTGCTTTGCAGGCACGAAGAGCACAGTTTGGACCCCAGAAAGCCAGGCACGGTGGCATGTGGGAAGGTGGAGAAAGGTGGCTTTCTGTGGCTTTCTGCCCGGCTAGCCTATTCTACTCAGCAGGCTCTGAGGCTGTGCTCTGGCCTCCATAGGAACCCACACAAATGCACATGCACACACAAACACGTACACACAAGTGTATACAGCTCCCGCCCTGCCCCCACATCTGAAAAAAGTTGATTCAGCAGGGATATGGGCATTGGTAGAAGACTTCGGCAGCTTTTACTAAGCCCCATGGCAGGACGTGGTCATTCCAAGGTGTAATTGACTCTGGAAGTTTGGCTGGTTTAAAGTTTGGCTGGTTTGGCCTGTAGATCAGGCCCGTGAAGTGCAGAAACAATCAAGAGGGTATGAGAAATAAAAAAAGGCCAAGGGGGGCTTGTCAGAGGCACATGAAAGTGATGTGGTTATATCCATCAGGTGTGGGTCTCAAAGGAGGCAAACTAGTGGAAGCCAAATTTGGTGTCTATGTGCCCCAGAAGGCTGGGCAAAGGGTTAAGAAGTAGATACGACACAGCGGTGCAGAGAAAACAAGCTAAATTTGCGCCCACACCTGCTGAATCACCGCCCAGCTACTTCTGTTGCTCACGCAGGCACAGCCTGATACTTTCTGGGGACCACACACCTAAATGGCACCAAACGGCCTTTGGGTAGTCTCTGAACAACTGATTGGGGTGCTTTTGACTGGACCCAGTCCTTTGAAGCTGGTTTCATCTGCTATGTGACCATCTCTCCCCTGGAAGGGTTGATTTGTGTTTACTTCAGTTGACAAGATTTGAGGTCACCAGACCAAAGGCTTTTTTGTCTCGAGGTATCTTTAAGATTGTGCACAGGGTGTGGCTTGAACATGAGACTTCAAAGCCTGCCCCTGCAGTGACACACTTCTCCAAGGCCACACCTACTCCTCTAAGGACACACCTACTCCAACAAGGCCAGACCCCTAATATTGCCACTTCCTATGGGTCAAGCATTCAAACACATAAATCTTATGGGGGCCATACCTATTCAAACCACCACACCCTGGCCCCCGGAAATATTAAATACAGTTTAGTCCTGCCATATTTACTGGCTAGACAATATCTGCGTTGGTCCCTCAGGAGAGGAACGTGTAGATGGATTTTTCTTTGGGTCACCAGCTCACAAAAAACAACAGAGACTTAAATTATAAAAGCTCAATGTATAGCTTAGGCTTGTTTCACTAGCTCTTAGAACTTAAATTAACCCACTTATATTAATCTGTGCTTTGCCTTGTGGTTTTTTACCTCTCATTTTGCACTTCCTGTTTCCTCTGTGTCCCCTGGCATCTAGATTCACCTCCCCTTCCTCACTCTGCCTGGACCCACCTAGTCTCTCCAGCCTAGCTATTGGCCATTTGGCTCTTTATTAAGTCAGTCAGAAGGAACCTTGGCAGAGACACATCTTCACAGTGTATAAAAAGATTATTCCATGTGAGTTCAAGGTGAGCCTGGTCTACGAGAGCTAGTTCCAGGACGGCCAGGGTTGTTACACAGAAAACCCTGTCTGGAAAAACCTAAACAAACAAATAATAAATAAATAATAAATTCCACAACAGGAATGCACTCTTGCTCCTGCCTGGCAGTGGAATCAAAGCTGTATAGTGTGCGCTGCTCTTACCTCAAGTCTGTTGCGGGAGGTCTTTCCGCCCCTCCAACCAATAGCTGCTGTGATACCAGCCCATTGGGGCGTGGTCTCACTCCCTTTAAAAAAGCGGCTATTTCCTCTGCTCGCTCTCTTCTCTTACTGCTCCGCTGGAGACGAGACTCCCTTCCTGGTTGCGCAGATGGCTGTTGTCTGGGATTGTGATCTGTAAGTTTTTTCCCCTTTAAATAAATAACACCCTATTAATCATAACTCCAAACTGGTGTTGCCTTGTTCATGACTTACGCCTTCATCTGGCGCCCGAACGTTTGGCTTTTAGGACCTCTCCTTTCTCCGCTCGAGTTCGGCTTGGCACGAGCCCTCCCTTCCTTAGCCGCGGCCTGTGCCTTGCGGCGGGCGGCTGTGTGGCCTGTGCCTTGTGGCAGCCTTGTAGCCTGTGCCTTGTGCGTGGAGCCAGCAGTTTAATATAAATTATCACGCACTGGCTTTTCTTGCTGCAAGTACAGCTCTTAT